AATAAGAACCCTTTTTTTTAAATTGTCACTCATTATTTACTTCCTCCAAGAATTTAAAGAATATTTGAACTGCCTTCGATTATAATGCACATTTTACAATCTCTTTGTGCTCGAGATTGCATAACGCTTTAATTTTTCTATATCATCAAATTGAAACTTTTTTTCCACCCAAATATTTTAAAGTCTATTTTTGACTTTGATAAATAATGAATTGATTTAATATTGTAATTGTATTTATTATTGTTTAATATTAATATTTTTTTTCCTTGAAAGTATTTTCACATTCTTCATTATATTCATTATATGGAGCGTGGACAGATGGATTTGAGATAATGACATGAGGCCCAGAGCTTAGAAACATACCCCCTTTTTTCTAAAAAAAATTTGGCATTTAATAAGTTTATTTGAACTAGATTAAATAAACTTTTTTACTAGAGTTGGCCCAGTCTTTTGTTTTTTGAGACTGTGAGACCAGTCCTTAGATCAGTCTTTTAGAAAGGGGCATGAGGTTTTTTTATCAAATTATATTTTTTTAAAAAACATTTATATTGAAATAAAAATTATATTGATAACTCATTATGTATCCATGATCTTAACACAGGCTTGCATGAGCTGTATCAGGATCCAATCAATTCCTTTGACTTATAATTGTTTGTCCAGCAGTTGCTTTGAGGCCACACTTGTTGCTTGGACTGTTAAATAGCCACAAGTAACAAAACCAAAGAATAAGGATTACTCATTTCTTTGTGCATACCATCAATCAAGAGGCTCAATTTCATCTTCTAGTGAAGTTATACATGTGGGCGAAACCCAGTATCACTTAATCATCACATAATTATCATATAATTATATATATGGGGTGATTTCTAGCAAAATGTGGTTAGGAACATAATAAATTTTTTTAAGTAACAGCCCCTCAAAATCATGCTACACATATGTTTTTGATATTTATATTAATTTTCAAAGTCTTGTATCTCATTATTATGCTATCACCAGTTGTAATCCTTATAGTATACAGTAGATATATATTATGTAAAAAGAAACAATTCAAATATGCAACCTTTGATTATTGGAAGTTAGCAGATGTTGAAGTACACTACACTACCTTGAACACTACACATTCTCACATCTTCCTCATGTACACAAGACTAATCTGATCTGATGGACTGATGATATAATAATGCAACCAAATTCTGGGGTGAATATGTGGCCCTGGAGTTTATCAAGGCTGCATCAATTGTCAATGATGTTTTCACTAATCTTCCCTCATGGCACCTATACCAGAGAAGGCTGCTAGCATGTTAACCAAAAAGTTTCCTGTGATATCCTACTTCTAGAGTAAGGATGGCTCTGTGATTGAGAACTCTGCGGCATTTTGAATAGTTGTGATATTAGATGCACATAAACATCCAGACCCATCAAAGCAATGAGAATCTGCAAGCACAGGGAGGATGCAATTCAGAGCAGAGTTGGTGGCCTTGAAATTGCATTTGTGCTCTAATGTTAGGAGAAAGGCTGTAAAATAAAATGGTTCAGGTTTGTTTGGTATGTTATATATAAATTAATCATTACCAAATTTTCTTCTTAAATTTTTATTTAACCAACTGAACTTGTTTTTTAAATGGGGGCTTTTGCCCATATGACCTACCCTAAGTTAAAGGAGTGTAGCTCAATGAGATCATGTATACTATAAGTATAAAGGTGGCAGTTTGACTCTGCCCACTCCTATTGTGATAGTCACCATGAACACTCACATCAGGGAGAAAGCTGTAAAATAAATGGTTTAGATTTTGTTTGGTATGTTATAAATAAATATGGCTCCTCAATTAATTGCAGCATATAAAAAATTGATTGTGGTTGCAGTTGTGGCATATGAAAATTGAATTGTGGCTAATTGCAGTCCCATCTTTAGTTATAAATTAATCATTTTCATAAATTCTCCATGTCTTTAATTTTATTTATTATTTAAATTGGGGATAAGGTTGTTGATGAGTAGGTGTGTCACCAACAAAACAGCAATCCAGGTCTCAAAATTCTGAATTCAGGGAAAATCCAAATCAACAACTCAGGTTGCAGCCTCCTGAGTTGGAGAATTTTGAATTGGTTGCTGACACTAACTTTATATTAAAGGGTAATAACACAAAGCAATCATCACACAAATGTTGATCTTCATCAGTGATCAATGTCCACATGGAAACAGCTGGCTTGGTCTGGGAGGAAGATGGGGAATTTTGTCCAAAGCATTCCAATATGATCAACATTACCATACTGTATAATGATCAGTGACTATACATTACATACATGGTAATAGGAGTTTATTATTATATTAAACTATTCAAATTAATGACAGGCTGTTTGTTACTATTAATCCTTGCTGATCAATTGGTTTTGACTTCTAAATACTGGCATGAGTTATGAAAAATGTAATACATTACCTGTTTCTGTAACCCCCAATATTAACCCCATTTTATTATTAATTATCTAGATTAGGAAACCTCCACAAATTTGGTATTAGTTTTATTCATGTGTAAATTTGAAGCATTAAAAAACATTCTAATTTAAAAATAAAATTTTTGAAAACATAACTATCAACTAGACAAGTTGAGGGATGGTAGTGGAAGTCAATAACAAGACAACAATATATCTCTATCTATTCTACATATACTATTTGTTCTGCTTATTCTTCGTGGAAGTTATATCAAATTTTCTTTTTACTTTTAAACATGTGAGTGCTTCCTATAATTTTACTTGGTGAAGATAATTAATATAATTAATATAATATTGAGAATTAAAGTGTTAACATTATAATTTTATCTTTAAACAAGGAAATGAGAAAGAGCAGCAAAATATAGCCTGTTTATTTATTTGTTTGCTAAATGATGTAAAGGATGTGGAAGAAAAGGACAATGTTATAGTAAATGTTTTCATTTATTGTTTAGTGTTAATTACTGGACTTATAATTTTCATTCTCTCATCACCTGCTTTCAATAGGTGATATTACAAATAAAATATATTTTTCTACTATTATATAATGAATGTTATTACGACTATATACATTAATATTAATATTTTAATGATCGGCAGCCAAAAAATTATCCACTGTATCATAGTAAAATTTGTGTTACGTATACTCAGTGTTGTGCAAATGGAACATTGTAATGCTATTGGAATGTTCCAATGTAGATCTTCAATTGATATTAACCAATAAAATTCGTGTGTATGACACTATAATTGAATTTCATTGGTTAACTTCATTGGAACCACATTTGGAGTGTTCCAATTCCAATTGGAATTTATTAGAATGCTCCAATGAAATTTTATTGGAACCATAAATGGCACAACACTGCGTATACTCTACCCTTAATAATAATATGCGAAACGTAACACGAATTCAGATGATAATAAATAATTATACACGTTATTGATAAATAAAAATAAAAATAATAAAAATAAAAATAAAAATAAAAATAAAAATAAAAATAAAAATAAATAATAGATTAAATAAAATAATAATAAAAATAGAAAAAAAATTTAAATTGTCCCGGAATTAAGAGATTCGACCAAAATAGTCGTGTGACATTTTCCTGAGGCTGCTTTTCTATATTAATATGTGGAAATAAATTTGAAATTCGTGCCACATGAAGTTTTTTTTTAAAATATCTCGTTATTTTTATAATAAACTCGAATTTTGTTGTTAGATTAAAATGAAAGTACTCCATTAAAGCTTTCTAATGAATACCTTTTCATATCGAAAGGCCTTCTTTACATGAATTCACGGCTATTCAAAAATGATATTACTTTTTCACTTCAAACCTCAGATTATTTCTCAATATTGCTTTAAAAGACTTTATAGTAAATGAGAAGGTGTAGAATACTTTAAGCTTTCATATGGTCATTACTTTATGGGTATTAGTTAATAAGTTTTAAAGAGGTTCACGAAAAACTATTTTATAGAAATTTTAATAGTCATGAAGAATTTATGTAGATGAGATTCAGCAAAAACTAAAAGGTATTTTATTAGTGATTGTTTTATATTTCTGACTTTATATTGATTAAAGTTTCATTAATGATTATTATGAATATCCATCAATCAGTAGTTGCTATAGCAACATTAATCAATGATATGCAAATGATGACAACGAATCATCTTTTTTGAGGACGATAATAAAGATTAAGATCCAGTTTGTATGGGAGTGATCAAAGTAAGCATTAAGGACAAGATCTATGAACAAAACATACTAACAAACGTTTTATCAACTATTCAATAGTTTGTATGGGAGTGATCAAAGTAAGCATTAAGGACAATATCTATGAACAAAACATACAAATGTTTTATCAACTATTCAATAGTTTGTATAGGAGTGATTGAAGTAAGCATTAAGGACAAGATCTATGAACAAAACATACTAACGAATGTTTTATCAATTATTCAATAGTTTGTGTAGAAGTGATTGAAGTAAAAATTAAGAACAAGATCTATGAACAAAATACACTAACAAACGTTTTATCAATTATTCAATAGTTTGTATAGAGTGATCGAAGTAAGTGTTAAGGACAAGATCTATGAACAAAACATACTAACGAACGTTTTATCAACTATTCAATAGTGATCAAAGTAAGCATTAAGGACAAGATCTATGAACAAAACATACTAACAAATGCTTTATCAACTATTCAATAGTGATTGAAGTAAGCATTAAGGACAAGATCTATGAACAAAACAAAACATACTAACAAACATTTTATCAATTATTCAATAGTTGTATAGGGGTGATTGAAGTAAGCATTAACAGTTGGATGACATTTCACGAGATCAACATGTCTACTCAATAGTTGTATAGGGGTGATTGAAGTAAGCATTAACAGTCAGATGACATTTCATGAGATCAACATGTCTACTGTAATAACTATATAGAAATTTTGTGCAACATGTCAATTTTTACTATTAAAATCAAAGGAACTTTTTCATTTGTCACCTAGCACACCCACATGAAGTTTTAACCAGAAACATGATATTTTGTACACGCATTCTTTGAGACTTATTTTATTTCCTTGCAAAATTTTAGCTGTGGTTTACTAAAAAAACAGAAAAGAATTGCTCGTTGAAAGTTACACCTTCAATTCTTAATCATGTTACAACAAATTATTTTGAATTTGTAATTTCAATAAAACATAAACAAGAAGCCACCATTTGGTTTTTAGAAATAATATTACATTGGGTTGGTGAGGCATGGACAATGGAAACAAGGTCAACTTCTATGATCCACATCTCAAATGTATAATTCCTTA